ACTTATTCTCTTGTGTCGAGAATAACTTCTATCCGGATGGTAATTGCTATTGCGGCCTTGCGAAATCTGGAAATACATCAGATGGATGTAAAAACTGCTTTCCTAAATGGAGATTTGAATGAAGAAATCTACATGAAGCAACCAGAGGGGTTTACAGCTCTAGGTCAAGAAAGGAAAGTTTGTAGACTGGTTAAATCGCTGTATGGTTTGAAGCAAGCACCGAAGCAATGGCATGAGAAGTTTAACAATGCTATGCTTTCTAGTGGTTTTAGAATCAACGAGTGCGATAAGTGTGTATATGTCAAGGACACTAATGGTGGATATGTCATACTATGTCTATACGTCAACGACATGCTCATTGTCGGTAGCTCTGACAAGATTATCAAAGCCACTAAGAATATGTTAAACTCGAAGTTTGACATGAAAGATATGGGTCTCGCGGATGTCATTTTGGGAGTAAAAATTACTCGAACACGAAATGGACTTATGTTATCTTAATTTCATTACATTGATAAGATACTAGACAAGTTTAATAAGTCAGATACCACTGTGGCCAGGACTCCAGTAGATTTGAGTCTCCACTTATCCAAGAACACAGGTGATGGTTTATCACAGTTAGAATATTCTCGGATAATTGGGAGTTTAATGTATTTAATGACTTGTACGAAATCGGATATAGCATACTCAGTTAGCAGATTGAGTCGCTACATGAGTAACCCAGGTGCTGTCCACTGGAAAGCCATTTTTAGGGTGCTACATTATTTAAGGCACACTCGTGATTTTGGACTGCACTATTCTAGATACCCTGCAGTAATCGAAGGGTATGCTGATGCAAATTGGATATTAGATATGTCAGATACCAAGTCTACTAGTGGATATGTCTTCACTCTTGGTGGTGCAGCTGTCTCTTGGAAATCATCCAAACAAACTTGCATCGCGAGATCTACAATGGAATCAGAGTTCATCGCTTTGGACAAAGCAACTGAAGAAGCAGAGTGACTTCGCCAGTTTGTTGAGGATATTCCAAGATGGTCAAAGCTAGTGCCTGCAATTTGTGTTTATTGCGATAATCAATCAACAATTGGCAGGGCACAGAGCAATATGTATAATGGTAAGGCTCGCCATATTCGAAGACGACACAATACCATTCGACAACTACTCTCACAAGGTATTATCACTCTGGACTACGTGAAGTCAAAGGATAATATTGCGGATCCGCTAACCAAAGGGCTAACTCGAGAGCTAGTTGTAAAAGCATCGAGGGAAATGGGCTTGCAGCCTATGACGTTGAAAGGTATCATGGTGGAAACCCAACCTAGCCGAATGGAGATCCCAGGATCTAGGTTCAAAGGGACAACTAAAACATGTATATCTGTGTAAATCACTGAGAATGTTCTCCTTCTGCTCATTCCTATGGTGCTCACAGTGATTGGAAGATGCAGGTTAAGCTATGCTTTTAATGACCATTAAGCGTTGTTGTGAAAAAATGAGTTAAGAGGTCACTTATGTGAGTATGAAGTGGGGCCGCTTCTATAAGGATTGGCAAAGCTACATTCTTGAAAAAACACTTGCAGAACCAGGCGACGTGTTCATGGCCAAAACGAACACAACAGTAAAAACTATGCTGTGACTAGAATGGTCCTGTGTGAGATCTATTGTCTTGATTTACACAAATGACGAAACAGTTCAAGGCATTAGATCCACTGGTTTGCTAGTAATTCTCGATAGGTTTCACAAGGAAAGATTCAAAGCTAAATGCTATTTATCCTATACAGGATTGATTCGTTTTACTCTCTCTTTCCTCTTGAATCTAGTTTTTATTTTTCATTCATGTGGGGGATTGTTAGAATTGAATGAAAAATATTGAATAGAAGTAATGAAAAATTTTGAATAGAAGTCTCTTCATATGTTGTAACTCAAGTCCCTTCATGTTTTTAACTCATTTATCAATGAATGGTTTAACTCCTTGATTAATGAGCTAGCTTTTCCTCCATTGGTATAAATATGAGTCTTTCTAGGTTGGAAAATCACAAGTGAAATGCAAGCTTCTTCCTCTAAGCAACAATCTTCTTTTTTTCACTTTCAAGTTCTTCCTTGTACTTATAATTTCTTTGTGAGATAGAGTATATCACAGCTAGTTCGCAGACGGTTAACGTAGTGCAGCATGAACCGACAACCGATTGTATCTTGGGAATCGAACACCGATCAAAACCTCTTGCACTCCGGTGAGGCGGTGAATTCGATTTAAGAAAACTGTGAATACACAGGCCTTCGATTTGATTTGATTCTCTAATATTTACCTACACTGTATTCATAGAAATACTGAGTGAAATGAAATATTATTTTGGATTCGAGATTGTGATATTGCCTTTGTACAAAAATATTAAAATTTTCGAAAGGTTTTATCAAGTTAGAAGATTTTTGTATTTCAGAATGGAGATTTTTGCTTGTCTGTGGACTTCCTAGCGATGAATTTGTGATTTAAATATTTGATTGTAATATTTAATGGAAGTTGAGGGATGATAAAGCTCGGGTTGTGAGGCTTGAGAAAATTTCAACGTTGGAACATATTGGGATTGGAGATCACGTGAGCAAGTTTTTGTCAGGCTGAATTCAATTTATATAATAGTAATTAGAATTTTTTATACGACAACGAAATATTGAAATCTTGACAATGTGTTAAGCTTGTATGGGTTTATTATATAAGACCATCACAAAGGAGTCTGAACTCTGAAGTGAGCCAAAGCCCATTGAAGCATGTCCATCAATCAGTTCTCGGTCTTAGTGCCGAAAAGGGAAAATATGGAAATGATTTTTCAATTTTACCAGTTGTATGAAGATGGATATAGCCGTTTTTTATTAGTTGTTGTTTTTGTTCAAGCACTAGTATAGAATTTCACGTCTAGCATCTTGAACAACATGTTCTTTGGGAATGCAAATATTGTTAACTTAAGCTTTTGATTTTATATTGTGATGCTGGATGTGTAAACAAAGACTCAATTGAATATCTGTTGATCATTTGAATTTCCAATTAATCAAGATTTGATTAGCTTAAAGTTTAATTTCTTTAAATCTAAATTGTTTTATTTTATGTGTTCATCTCAATAGATATGCACACAATTATACATGACACAAGGAGAAAAAATGAGAAAATTTGAAATACTGTTGATTTTCTCTTTAATACTTCTACACTGTAATCTAATTCATTGTTTATCATCTCTGAAGTATCCCGAGAGTCTCTTCCCATGTATTCTTGGTCATGAGGCTGCAGGGTATGTTCTCTGTTAATGACACACACAAACCATATGCAGTTGGCACAGCTCTTTTTTCTAATGAAGAAATATTAATTTGGTATTTATTTATTTTATTGGAATTGCAGTGTTGGAGAAGGTGTGACTGAGATTCAGCCTGGAGACCATATCATTCCTTGTTAACAGGCAGAATGCAAATAATGTAAGTTCTGCAAATCAGGGAAGACAAACTTCTGCGGGAAAGTAAGGGTTGCTACTGGAATTGGAAATGAATATTTATTTTACTGGAATTTGTCACCATAGTTGAGTCGACATTTTCTTTGATGGTTTGCTTAGATTTTGGACCGTGTCTGTTCTCTTATTATTGCAGCATCAAGTTTCCTATTGCAATTTAGTAAGAAGACTACAGTCAGTGTCGTGTGCGTTTAAAATGGAGCGTTTTTGGTTAAGTTCACTTGCAAAGTTAACACCATGTTTGAGGAAGTTTATAAACTGTTTAAATTATAAATAGATAGATTTTATAATAGAAATGAGTTGTGTATAAGTAGATGTGTTTTGATATTTAATAAATGGCTTGACTGTTTATAAACATGAGCCAAACAAAGGTAAAGCTAAAACAAACTATACTTATCAGTTGAAGTTAAAGTTAAATTTCTTAATTTACTTTTGAAATGAAGTGATTTTTTTTTTAATTAAGAATCAAAGAAAAAACTACTAAGAGGAGCTACATATAATCCCCCCAAAAAATAAAATAAGGGAAATAAACGAATATTTATCTCGTCTGGATGCATAGAGTACAATGTAGAGCCATGCTCATGAATAGGAATCTAGCAAAATTATCAAGTTCGAAATCTTTGTTCCAAGAAAGTTATGCAGTTACTTCTTCATCCCACTGAATTGTCTATATAGTTGTGTTCAAATCTTGGGTAGAAAGATCACAGCTTTATCCTTAAAAGTCATGTCGTGGATTGATGAATTCTTATGCTACCATCTGTTCGACTCGATACTCATGGTGGGCCTATTTTGATATTTATCGTGCAATTCCCCAGACCCATGAAATCCATCTCTTGGTGTTAGGAGAACCGAAATTGAGTATGCTCAAGAAATTGTTAATACCTTTAATTTATATATGATGCAATTCATGTATGCTTTAAAATTTATAGAAATTTGATGCTCATGCAAAAAATGAATTTTGAAATAGTGATATGATGGAGAATGTGTAGTTAAAAAGTAATGAAAAAATTTGAGTTTACGTATAATTTATATTATTAAAGAATGTACGGTTAAAAATAAGAAAGAGAGTGTATTTTAAAAATAATGAAGATCAAACGAAGGCGTAATGCGTATAGCCTCTTCGCCTTCCAAATATACCAAGACAGTCGATTTGACATTTCACACGTCTTATTTGATTAATTTTTATTATGCAAGAGAGGCTGCTGTTCTTTCATCATTTACTACATATTTCTTGTGTGGAGTTTACATATGAACAACTCCTAAAAGCAACTAACAAAAATAAAACCAAGGAACGAAATATAAATCAATATGGCATGAATAGCAGCACATGGCAGCAACTGAAATATTTTCCTGAAGCATCTGTATCAGAAAACACATCAAGCGTCCAATAATTCGCTCAAATGAACATTGGAGAAAATAGGATTCAACAAAGAATGTACTGCGAGCTCATAATTCAAAAACATTTTGATCATTTTTCTTGGCTTAGTAATATCTGCAGTAATGTAGCATCAATAGTAAAGCAGATATAGAATAGTTATTGCATTCAAGGGATTAAATAAAAGATGAGATTTTACATGAGACTGGTTTCTGTACAAGAAACCTTCATAACGACAAACATCCGTGCACCCATATGCCAAACCGGAATGCTAAAATGATAATTCGACTCTTCCTATATGTTATTTAAAAAAACATCATTTTCCATCCATTTTTCTTCACATAAACATCAACAATTCAAGGCTCGCCATTTTTCATCATTCTTAAAAGACTTAAAAATCGAAAAGAGTACCTGCATCTATAGTACCAGGTTCAGGGGAGTATACATTCAACGCAGGAGGCACAGAAACTTCCAAAGCCCCTGGAACAGGCTGATTCTCAAGTATCCAATCTAACTGAAAGTCCAATGAGTCAGGATCTATACTTCCGGGGAATCCGGAATTATTGTCATCTATGAGGGAAAAATTATCTGCTGGTAATGCTACGTGAATGTACGAGTTATCTTCTGGCGGTACACTTTGAAACTCGTTATTATCTTCTTTTGCTATGCTTTGATATGGGAGATTATCTGTTGATACTGGATTTTGAAGTTGGGAAATACCTGTAGGAATCTGTTGGTTGCTTCCGCTTGCAGAGGGATTCCAACTAAAGCCAAAATCTGTGCAACTTGTACCAAGACCACTTTGCATTTGATTTTCTTGCTGAAAAATATTTTGTCCATCATTCGGTAAGGAAGTAGGGGCAGTATAAACTTGAGGTTGATGAAAGACAAAACTTTCATAGGTGCTATCCATATTGGGTTGTGAGGACATCGGGGACAGTGGATGTTCAGAAGTGCTACCGCTACCTGTATAAAGTGAGGTGGACGCATGGGTTTGAGAAGGTAAGGGATGGAAGGTATTGCTCCCATTAGGCTGGGACACCAGTGGCCGCTGGGGGATAGTTGTATTCTGAAAATGGTTTCTGACATATGGCTGGGAAGCAATTTGGGGTTGCGAGGAAAATGCTTTAAGAAAATTGCGTCTGCAAGCTTGAGAAGACATTTGAAGTTCTGAGGGCGCATAATTTGCAAAATCACTTACGCCCTGATGCACTTTGCCATGAGAAGCATGCCACCTAGGTAGATGCAGGTTATTAGAAAATTGTGACCCATAACTGTTTTTGGATAAACCATAGCCACGCCTATCATTCACCGAATCAACCTGGGCCTGCCCACTCTCTTTGAACGACGTACATGGACTTTGAGGAATGAACTGACGGCCTCTGCTTCTTACATGCCTACTATTTTTAGAGAAAATGCTCCTGCCTTGTGTACTAGGCAACTGTTGGGGGACCATATGTGGTTGGTATCTATATCTAGGAACAGCGGGTCTAGATGTTTGACTTCTGGCTTGATTCATGATATTGGGAATGCCAAAATGGGTCCTAGGGCGCACCGTGACCCGATTAAAATCCTGATTCTGGGCTGAAGAATTGGCCTGTACTGGATGCAACGGCGGAACTACATTCGCAAGGGAAGCAACATTAAGAATTGGTTGTGTTTCGTCAATTTCCTTCTTGCTTTTCCGTTGAGTTATCCAAATCTCCTCTTTATCCGTAGCATGACAGTGGTCAATACTGGAAATGCCAGAGCCCCAATGGGCACATGGAGCAAGTGAGTCACAAACATAACAATGACACTGAAATTAGAAAATTAGAAATTACAATGGCACCATGTTCGTTTAATACAATATAAAAATGATGGAATATAAAGGGAAAAGCTAAAATGAGAAAATCACCCGGTCACAGTGAGTATGATGGGGAGTAGAAGCAAACGGAAATGTTACGCAAAGATGCCGTGCGTGAGGGAAGTCTCTGCAGGCAACCTAAAATGGAAAGAAAAAAGGATAAGCAGAAATATATGTCATACATAATATTTTCTTCTCATTTTCTCTTCCTGTTTTAGGAAAGGAATGTGGCTAAAATAACTGCTGATGTTGGATAAATAACAAGCAGAAAGGATCTGTTTAAAATGTTGCAGCAAATTAAGTGGGGTTCTTGGGTAATTTATGTGGGGAAAATACAAATCATAAAACCACAAAAAGTAAGTATTGAAAAGTAGAAAATAAGATACTTGAAACACATGGAAACCATGAAGAGAACAAGCTAAATCTGAAAGCAGCCTTAAGAAGGAGAGCGATTGTTTAAAATCTTTACGATGTAAGCATTGTTCAAAGATATACACCCCCCCCCCCGCGCGCGCGCAAACCTCAAGCAGATCTCATGATATCCATCTTTATTTCATTGTTTCTAAAGCTGCAATCTGAAACAGGGGAAAATACGATCTAACATACACAAAAAACGTAATATTACAATTTTGTGCAGTCCCTCTTCCCAAAAGGATAAGGAAAATTCAGTAAACACAAAAACTGAAGCAGAATAGCATGATGTTCTCATTCATATTTCGATTTTATAGAGATTTCAAAACTGAACTCATAAATCCTAGTCCGTAGTCCCATGATATAACTAAGTTAAAATTAAAAATAAATACAGCAATAAACTATTCAATCAAAGCACATTGATCTAGCAGAGACTCAAATATCAAAATCAAGATCCCAATTTTTTGTTTAAAGGAAGATAAAAAGAGGAAAAATCAATACCTGACCCTTTTCACCAACAAGAAGCAAATCATCAGAATCATCGTCATCTACTTCACTATTCTCAACTGCCAACGGCTTATCCGGGTCACCATCCAGAATCATACACTCATCATCATCGCCATCATTATAATTCATAATTTTCGCAGAGGAATTTGAAAATTTTAATCTTGCTTTCTTTGGCTTGACAACCACCTCATCCACCAAAATCACATCATCAGAATCATCCGTACCTCTATCCACCTCGTCTAATAGCTCCGACAGCCAACCATGGTCTTCACCGCCGCCACCCCGTATGGCCTCGCCGAAATTGGACTCGTCATCGGAGCTTATTTCCAGTATTACTGGGTTCGAATTTTCCATCACAATTGAACCATTCATTTTCAAACATAGCGGAAATCTCTTAAGCTATTCATCCTTTTTCCCGCAAAACACGTAAAATTCAACAAATTAACCCTTTTCTTGAAAAACAAAATAATTTCAGGAACAAAAGAAGAAGTTACTGGCTCTTGACTTGCTATCAGAAAAAGATTAAAAGACACATAACAAAGTACAAGAAAAATTGGGTTATGTGATGAGTATAATTACGCAGTAATTGCGACCCTGAAAAAAGAAAGGTCATTACTTTATAGCGAAGAGAATGATTGGCTAATTTTGATAAGATTTTTCAAGGGGGCCTGAAAACCCTAATTCAGTATTGGAAAAAGGGAAGCTGACTTTGGAAAGTAGTCTTCAGATTTCTATTTAGAAAACAGAGCATGTACGTGTGTGCAACGTGTGAAATGGGTTGGTCAAGTCACGACTCGCGCGAGATATGGCAAACGGAGTGGAGCTACAATTTGTAAGAACGGTCAGCTAATATCTGGATGGAGATTGTAGGTAACATAGTTCTAATCGAACCATACATATTTTTTTTCTTTTTCTTTTTCTTTTTCTTTTTTTGTTGGGGGGGGGGGGGGTGG